ATTTCTGCGTTGTAACACTGTAATACTGTTCAAAGAGAGTGAAAGTATCCCTAGTATTCACTTCTCCAATTGGATGATATAACAGAATATCTTACAAAACACAAAACAAGAATTCTCCCCAACACTGGTTATGTTTTGGCCCCTTTTATTCATCCACTTTTGGCTAATCTTCTTCCTCGGATGGCTGTGGAAAACCCTCATCTGGGAAAATTTACCAATAAACCCCTTCCCCCTTGTCCTTTAAGTAAAACTTTTCTATGCACAGAGCTCCTCACTGTATTGTTGCATGCCAATTCTTTCTTCTTTCACTCACCACTCTATGTAGCTGTAATGTGTTTGACATGGGTTAAAGCCTACAACTTCCCACAGGCAAATTCTACAGCACAAAGGAAAGTTGGATTAGGTGACACAGCTGAGTAGGTGTTACATAGGTCTATAGAGACTAGCTCTTCTGATGAGTGATGTCAGTCTTTGATTGCATGAGCAGTGACATATTTTGATCACATTTTTTAATATATAAATGGCGATTAATGAATGATGTAATTGATGCAGTTCAGATGCGTGCTGTCATCTGGCACTTCAGAGGCAGTCCTGCTCCGCATCAGTGTGTATGTGCATTAACACGCTGGTGCATGCGAGGGGAGAGAATGGGCTGTCTCCCAGGATGTGCAGCAAGCGCTTTATTAGAGCGGTAGTACCAGTAAATCAGAGCTCAGCCCTTCCTGGAATTGCTGCAACCTTTCCCACTGAGCACTATTACTGAACAATCATAGGCCAGCCATGATAATTAGCGGAGTATCTATTCACCCAACCCTCCTGTCGCCCTTCCTCATTCTGCTACTACAGGCTACTTCCCTATCCACAAACATGTCTGATGGGGAGTCTGGCGCCCACTGGACCCGTTTCATCTGGCACATTTCGTCAACTTTAGATCCCAAAAATAAACTCATTCTGATGTTAACTTCTTCTTTGATGTGTACCTGACCATCATTTGTATGTATACTTTTAAATCTCCACATCAAATCAAAAGTTACACACAATTATTCAGACGTTGTTTGGATCTAATAACTATATTGTAATTATTTTTTTAATTTCCATAAATAATGAAATACCAGAAATGGGCACGCTGCCCTCATGATAATACATACTGTATGTATGTGTGGTTTTGATCTAACTCTCAGTGTCTTTGAGTATGTCTGAGATTCAATTCTTTTATGGTCATTAATGGAAAGAGGTCAATGAGGGAAGCATTCCTGTATCTAAGGAGCCAGTTGTTTTGCTGAATCATCAATAAAGACCTTCATGTTAACATTCTCTTGGATTGCATAAACAGGGAAAATAGTGCCAGTGCTATGTTGTGCAATGGGTCTGGACATTCCATGAATCAAGATGGATAAAACCCCATGTGATCAAATGTGGACTCGACATATAGCCAAATTGACATTTGTGAGAGCAACAAAAGAGAAACTCCAGGGTGTGAGGACTTTCTCGGTTCAAGATTCCCTGTCTGATAGTAACGGCACTTTCTTCCTCTCCTTCCTTTGCCAAGCGGCATCTGGAGTGGATTTTGTGCTAGCAGACACCGAGGAACATGATTACATTCGGCTAACTGTGCTCTAAACTGATTATGCATGTGCCAAGCTAATGGACTACATTTGCAAGAGGAAAAATAACATCCAATCAATCTCAATTACCGTCGATTGCAGTGGCCCCTGAGACGAAGAAGGTAGCTAGCTGAGCTCCTCCCCTTTGCCGAACCCCTGACTGGAAGCGCAGGCCTGTGGCTGGGCCTAAACCCTTCTATGAGGTCTGAACATAACAGACATCATCTACCAATATCTCAGCAAAATAAGAAATAAGAATGCTTAGCTTTAGGGCTGTATATGAATTCTGTTATAATGCTTTTTGTTTTGTTTTTATTATGTCATCTGCCTATAGACAACAGATAGAAACTGGCTTTTTTTTTTTCTTTAAACTGGAATACATGTATGTGTTTACAGATATTCATGAGTATGCACTATCCCTATGAAATACAGACATCAATGAATATGAAAGAATCACTGTAGTTATTAAATAAATCAATGTATTTATTTAAAACATAAATATTATATCTTAATATATAAATATTATATCTTATATCTCAATTTGACAAAGATAAAGCTGAAACGAGGCCACTTGAGGACATCCTAAGGAATAATGTCCGGACAAGCTCCAACATATTGTTGTTGATCTAATGTGTGGGTCATTAGGAAAACTGTTTTTTTTCTGTAAATAAGAGAAGACAACCAAAGTGTACAGAGGTTTTTGCCATCAGGACGCCTCCCTGCATCTTCAGTAGTCTTTCGGAACATTCCAGCTTGCAGGGTAGTTGGGGTGATATTTTTAGAAAACCCTAATATGGACCACATACCACAGACTCTCAAATTATCCCATCCAGCTTAGCCCTCTGTTTAAACCTTCCTTTTTAATTCCTATAATTACAGACCCCAATTTATATGGAGCCGTGCACACAAAGGCTCTATTTAATGCAAACCAGTTTGATTTGGGAGAAGTGTCCCAAGCATCTCCCACATATGATGATGTGTTTGCTGACTCAATTATTTATTTTCCCCCAAAAAAGGTTCAAATGGGGCCATTTGTTTCAGACTCCTTTGGGGAGTAGTGCTTTAATAATGATTCTGTTTTTGTGCTTAGCATAATATTCTAAGTTTGTTTACGGTCCTGCGGTCCGTTGTGGGCTTCTTACTGTCAGTATCTTTACCAGGATAGTAAATCCTACACAGTGCATGACTGTAACTATGTCAACACAGGAGTTTGTGCTACCAAGAGACCTCACAAGAATATATTTTTTGTTGGCTAATCATATTTGAGAGTCATAAAATGTTGACATAATTCTTGTCAACCACTCACTGTGATTGAAACCTGTCTCTGTGGCAGTGGGAATAAAGGCAATAAGTGAGCAGGTGACTTCTGGACCAATCTACAAAGTCACACAATCAATATGTTTTAAAAATGATCATGCCTGGAAGTGTTGTACATATTTAATCCCCACTGGCTGAGCAGCGTGTGACATATGGAATGGCTACAGTTGAGCGTACAGATGATCAAACAAAAATGGGCACCTGTCCATGCTGTAAACCCTGGGAGACCAATAAGCGCTGTGAGGACCAGCGCTTGTCCTGCGCTGGTGCCAGAGCTTGTCTATTTTAGGACGGGGTACTGTCATTGGAATGTGGGCCAACTCTTTAAGCCAAGAGTTCGTCACCATATTGTACTTGTTACTAGTATTGTAGAGCTGACTGTGATGCAACAACAATGTTTGGAATATGTGCTAGTCTATAAGTCTACAAGGCTCTTTGTCCTGTCAGTTTTGACACAATAAAAATCTGCAAAAGTGCAATGATGCCACTTTGGAATAGAATTACTCACATTGTTGGATGACTTTCAAATAGCCTTTTTTAAATGAATCACTGCAGCACAGCTCTAGTCTGAAGAAAACACTGTAATAACATCAACACTTTACTCAAATAAATAGTATCCTCTTTGCTTTAGATAAATACCCTCTAGTCTTCAAAGCAATCTTGTGCATTTTACAGTGGCACTAATTGGCTTTAAATATATATATACAGTACAATGGTTGAATTGTTCAATCTTCATACATATACGATTGCATGTATTTTAAATGTAGTTCTTATTCATAGACGTATGGTGACATCTTTAACCAAAACACTCAATCGATAAAAGTATGCAATATCAGTGGAATGTATGGTTGTAGATGATAATTTCCTAATAGTAGTGTATGTGTAATAGATGGGAAATGCATTATTACTGTCTCTGCAGGTCACTGTGCTGGTATGTACAGCTATGCCAGATTAGGTTAAGTGTAGAGTGGCTAAAGCCACAGACACATAGGATAGATACCTAAGTGGAATCAGGCCTGTTAGATTTATGGCCATTTGTTCGGTGAGTGTTCATCCATTGGCTATTATGGAATGATTAGAGGAGAAGGTGAAGCTCCAAGTCCAGCAAAAATCAATACGGCTGTCGAGAACGATTCAGCCTTTCCCGCTCCAAGGAGTATTAGCACCAAACCTCTGTCTCCTCACACTTCTTTATTCGTCTCCTACTGGTTCAGACCATCACTGCCATCCTAGCCTCACCTACCACCATCTGGTCTGGCTTCCAGATGAGAAAAGAACTAACCAGAACAAACCAGCTAACCCAAACAACGAGAGGTAATGAATACTTACAAAGGCCAAGCATAACAATAATACAAACATGTACATGTGTGTATTTATGTATGTTCAGTGGAAAGTTTGTGAAGTTCACACTTCACAAAATTCATCTATCTTTACTAAATAATATTTCCATTGGCTCCATGCCACAGAAAGAAACCCTAACCCTAAATGTACTTCTTCTAAATGATTGATATTACGTTCTACTTTCTTATAAAGTCAATAGTTTGTTTTCGACTGCCGAAAAAGTCTGAAAACAAACTTTTTACACAGTATATGTCAACTTTTGGTTTACACTGTACAGTATGTATCATAGATTGTATAAAGGAAAGGATGCTAACCCGTAGCTCTACAGAAGAGCTAATGGATGAAGTTTCATCCTACTCTCTTTGGCTTCCATGTACTTACATTTACTCATGTCACACATCATGTTGGGCCTACAAATTTGTGGTTCTTCAATCTGTATGATCCTGTTTTATTTTAATATTGTCTTTGTAAGTACCCTAACAACTGACATCAAGAGCCCATCGACAAATGTAGCTCTAGCTAGCTATTAACAAGAGCGGAAAGACCCAGAGCAGCTCCTGATTGGCTCTTTGATTAAACACTACAGGTGACTTCAGAACCCAGTTAGTCCATACCTTTTACAATCTATGGTATGTATGTAGCTATGTAAAGTATACAGTATGTACAATGTTGTTGCCTTCCAAGCTCAACTCGTTGAACAGGGACTGGAATTGAGTAGGGTACAGTATTTGCACTAACCTTGTAGAGTTTAAGACTAGCTTCATGTCGGGAGTTGACTGTGTGCATCCTCAGCTTCTCCAGACTGTTGGTGTAGTAGTCACATGCATTGCACTTTAAGTGAACTGGATTTCCAATCGCGACACACTTGAGACGCCACTCGTTGCCTTTACCGCCTTCTTTAATGTGTGCCACCAGCTGGTACTTCTGGACATGCTTGTCTGTCTTACAGTGCAGCTGAAAGTTGGCCTTTAGCTGAGTGTTGTAGTGGCACAACTTGCACTGGTGTGAGTCTCCCACCACAGCCCGCCACTCCTCTTCTGGAAGGCTCCGCTCAGCGCCCATGTGCATGCCCAACACCTCTAGGTTGTCAGTGGTGAAGCGGTTGCACACAGCACACTGGAAGAGCTTCAGGGAAGGGTCACTGGTCTGGGACAAACTTTCTCCTAAAGTCATCAGCTCCTCAGACACCAACTGCCCACCTCCCAATCGGACATCCATAGGAATATCTCCTCCAACTGGAACAAATTAAAAAGAGTGATAATTATTAATATTATTATTGGTAAAACATATATGCACACATATAGTAACAGCATTTACAAACAGACTTCTATCTTTCACATATGTTTCATGTTTAAAAACAAATGTTAGTCGAATAATGTATTATTATTCATAATACATTCATTTTATGTTATGCCATTATTATTATTATTAATATTATCATTATTATTATTATCAATAATAATATTATAATTTTTGTTTGTATTTTTATTTTGTATAATTATTAGTATGTTTAGATATATTGTTATAATGTAAAATACACTGTAATTTTACATTTGAAACCTTGATACATTGAAAGGAATCCTTATGCTCTGCTTGAAGACTACTGTAACAAAATTTGAATTGTTTTTCGGTAAGATATTTCTTACCTAGTCCGGGAGCCAGGGCAGCCATGTTGGGGTCCAGGTGAAATCCCCCCATCAGAAACTGAGCCTCAGCTCCTGCAGGGTCCATCTTGAGCCCTGGAGGGAGGCTCATGTTCTGGGTCAGGTAGTACTGGTAGAGTTCAGCTTCAGATGGTGATGGCATAGCTCCAAGCCCGAGGCGGCCATGCTGCATCTGTGTAACGTTCTGCTGTAGTAGCATCATGTTGTGCATGTGCTTCTCACTTGTCATGTGGATACGAAGGTTACGCGCCACATTGGTTTCATAGTCACACACCTCGCACCTCCAGGTAGGCTTGTTCTTCAACTTGGTGGGCGAAGGAGCGCCACACTGCCCCCCCATGTGGCTGGAGGACTGAACGGGATGGTGGTGTGGAGGGTGATGACTGCTCGCCTGTGTTACAGAGGGGACAGCCACCACACCTCCCGGGGCATGTCCAAACACCTGCTCCTGCGTTGAGCCAATGGAGCCTCCATTCTGCAGGGACTGCATGTTGTTCAGATGTTTATCTGACTGCATATGGATGCTAAGGTTGCCTTTTGTGGTGGTTGAGTAGTTACAAACCTGACAAAATGTAAAAATACTATTAGTTTAAATAAAACAAAAATAACTATGACAAGAGAGAGTGATTGTGCTTACCTCACAGCGGAAGGGCTTGTACCCACAGGTGTAGCTCTCCCCTCGCGCCAGGCGTGGGTGACTCTGACCACTGCTGCAGTAGACGCAGGTGCCTCCAGAGTCAGGGTGCTTTTCTTTCATGTGGGCCTCCAAGGTCTGCTGGTACTTGTAATGCCAGTTACATTTGGGACATTTCAGAGTCTTACACGAATTTCGCGAGTGCATCATTGTCATGTGACCACCCAAGGATCGGGATGAGCCAAGGACTGTATCACATTTGGGGCACTCTACTCCACTGCTTCCACCAATTCCACTCCCATGGTTTTGTGAGCAGTCGCTTAGACCAGAGAGGTCACAAGCTCCCCCTGTGAGAGGGTGGGTGTGGTTGTGAGGCGAGGTGTGGAGGTGGTGATGATGGTGGTGCATGTGGTGATGGTGCAGAAGAGAGCCATTCTCCTCCTCTCCCTCTGCCGAGCAATCATTTGGTTCTGGAGCTGTGGCACTATCTTGATTGGCACTTTCATCAGCAGCAGCATTGAAGGACAGAGGTGAGGAGGGAGTGCCTGCAATGTCGTCCTCACTTTGTCTGACGACATTCGCCGCCATTGCCGTGGAGCCACCGGACCCTTGGCAGTTAAAGCTCAGAGGGAGCTCAGAGGTCCTCCCTCCACCGTCTGCAGCTGAGCCCTCGTCCTTGACAGAAGAGGAAGTGGAAGCAAGGGCTTCGCTGCTGAGTGTTGAACTGACTGCAGAAGTGCAGGCAGAAGGCTGGAGAGCGCTACTAGGCATTAATAAAGGAGATTTGGAAATGCTTTGGTTTGAGACAGCTGGTTCCCCTGCTTCAACACTGCTACTGTTACCACCAGAGGTTGCCTCCCTATCCTCTTCTCTAAATAACAAATCCTCCACTTTTTCTGAGCCTGCAGTCCGACTAAAGAGTTGAACCCTATTTTCACGTTGTTCCTTTTCCCCGTCCTCACCCTTGCAAGTCAACTCTTTCCCCACAGGCTCCTCGGTTCTCCCGACTTGTTTGGAAAGAGAACTGGAGTCTTTGGCAGAGCCTGGAGATGAGGTAAGAGTCGATGCGTTGGGAACACTTAACCCTCCAAGGGAAAGGACAGAGCTGAGTGCTGTTTGTTGTTGCTGCTGTTGCTCAAGGTCAGATTCAGAGTCTTTGTTTAGGTCACCCTCGCTACCTGCACTGCTGCTTCCAGGGTTCAGATGGACACCACTAAAAGTTCCATAGAAGCTCTGACTAGAGTTGATGGGAGGCAGGCTAGGTGGCAGAGGAGTACTTTTACTTTTTGGTTCCAGGAAACTAATAAGGGGTTCCTTATCCTTCCCTATGCCCTGGATTATGGCAGATGCATGCTTGTCCCCCAGCATCCGCCGCTCCTCCTCACACAGTGTCATACGATGATCATGAACAGCATGTGTGGCAAAGGAACGTGCATAACCAAAGGACAGCTTGCAGAGAAAACACATGAGAATGGGTTTGCCCTTGCCATAAAGGGCTAACCCATCAAATTTGGAGAAATCCACGTTGTTGGGAACATCTTTGGATACACATGACTTCTTGGCAGACCCATCACTGTTTAGGTAATCCTTGTTGCTTTTGTGCCGCACATCAAAAACACGAAAACTGTGCAGAACAGGACTGAGGCCTGACATGGTTGAGGTATTGGGGAATCCTTGGTCTGAATTACCAAACCATTTCCCAAATGATGAGGCTATGTGAAACGTATTGATGATCTGAGGGTAGACTGTCCCTGCAGGTTCCCCTGCTTTCTGCCCACTGCAGAGAAAGTCTGTGGGGGGTAGGCCCGGTACCATACCCCCACCACTTTGGATTAATTGACTCAGGCTCTCCACTATATAGGCTGAACCATCTGGCTGGTAGACTATCTCTCCAGCCAAATTCTCCACATCACTACTCTCATCTTCCTCTTCCTCCTCTCCTTCACTTCCACTCTCAGGGGCTCCCTGATGTCGTGTGGCCTGGTGACGTAGTAGAGAGTGTATGCCCCCTTCTCCCCTTGACGCCATGGTAACCCCAGGAAAGGGCTGAAGACTTGGAAAACAGCTGTCAATCTCCATTTCATCCAAGTCTCCTAAGTCTTCGTCCTCGCCACAGCTCACCCCGTCCTGCTCTTCCTCCTCAAGGGCCTCTCTTCTGGAGCTCCGTTGGGTTGTGGCAGAGCTGTCCAACTGGGAGAGTGGCGATGTCTGCTTTGGCTGCTCTCTCAGCCCGTCATGAGGGGCACTGGAATTTTGGCCAAGAGTAGGGTATGGACTGGGGATGGACAAAGGGTCCAGGGAAGAGGCCTGATTGGTACAAGGGACCTGCGAGCTAGAGTGATCGTTCCAGGGCTGTGGTGGTTTCTTCTGCTGAGAGGAGCCAAGCCCATTGTCTGTCCCAGAAACTACGGGAGACTCACAGCTGTCCATGCTGATGCCTACATGAGGCGTTCATCGCATCCAGGCCTGTGAAAACACAAAGTAAAAGGAAGGGATTATTAGACTATTTATGAATGTTGTTTAGAGACATTAAATAGAAATGAACGCAAAAATAATGAGGAAATAAATGACATAGTGATAATTATCTCCCAGATTCAACTTAGATGCATGGCACATAGGTTGAAAGAAAAAATATATAATTGTGAAAATGACATGCCACTCATTACAGTAGATTAGGCACTTAAACACAATACCCGAGACAAGCACTAATAAGCTGTCCATGATTCATCTGCCTGCCATATCAGAAAGGTACCATCTTTTATCTTCACCTTCCAAACAACACCCCTAATCTTATATTCTGCAAATCCTACATCCGTTTTTAATTAACTCACAGTCAGAAAGAGAGAAACAGGCAAACTTAATGGATCAAATAGATTTGTTGAGAGATAATTAGACACTGAAAAAGCACACATCATGGTGAGGCACATTTACATAACCAAAAATACAGCTTTTTATAACTTGTGTGTGCAGTTAAATTGAAAATGACGATCAAGAAAAGATGAGACCATCCTTTAAAGCAGAATTTCAGTGCACCTTAAATGCATGAGCCTGGTGGGTAAACCTCAATGCTTCTGTATATATATATCCGACAAACAATAACCTCCATGTGCTCCAGCCATCTTTTTGCCTCTAAAATAATAAATGGAAGGAGAGCATTTGGGAGCCTGGCCATGCCCCGAGCAACTGAGAGGCCCAACACAGGCAGCAATTTAGCGCGCAGAAGAGATAAAATGATAGCACGAGATACTGCTGAGCTAATAATTTTATTAAAGGGATGCAGCCAACATTGATTAAAGGGGGCAATCGGGCTGAAACCAATAACTCTGGCCTGCCCTTTAACCTGCTAGTGCTGAATATTACATGAGCAAAGTTTCCCGGCACCACGCCTGCTGCCATGTATCAGCTGATTAGCACATTCACTGCACCCACTTGATTTATTTACTTATTTACTGAGAGATGCAAATTTCAGCTGTGATCAGAATAGAGTCTACCCCCACACACCATCACATATCAAGCTCTGAAGCCAAAGGGAGATTGATCATGTCTGTATTCGTCTCCATGAATGTCTGATGAAGTGTATCGCATAAAGATCAACCTGTATTTTGTATTGGGAGGCAAATACTTAGGTCTAATCTAGGTTAAGCCACACACACACAAAAACATATCGGAGTACAAAAGAGTATTGGTAACTTTAAAGCTAAAAAGACATGAATAAGTATATGCTAAATAAAAACAAGGAAAATATATATATAAACAGACTTGGCTTGTTCTGGATGTTTTTTCCTACAAGAAAAAGAACATTGATTTGACAATTTCTTGGAACACAAAAAACTATTTGGTGCACTGTCTCAGCATAGGAGAGTTTGACACATTCTTGTATGTAATCTGCTTCATCTCCTTTAGATTCCAGTGCCTGTCCCGACCAGGCCTGACACACTGGGCCCACATATAAAAAGTCATTCACATTTTTTCCACGCACAAGTTCTCTGTACCTTTGCGTCGTTTCCTATAAAATAACAACGACGATTCGTGACAGACAGGATCACATAATGCCTGCAGACTGGAGCTCAGAGCACCGTGTCCACTGCTTACAGAAAACAGGATTGGCCTTTAAAATCAAGATGGTGTAATTCAATAACCTGCAGCGGTTACTGATGAGCAATGGGATTGTCTGGAGTCGGTAAGTCGCAGATGGGTCTGCTGATATAACACTGTTTGTCTCTTCGACGTCTGCTTGGCTCAGTCACACCTGTTTAGAGCTCTAATTACCTGAAAGAACTGTATAACTGGACATACAGTGTCTATATAAATGTGTGCCTCTATTTATGAACACACACACACATCATTGAAGCATGGCCTGGAAAAATCATCAAAATATGTCAGTACAGTAATGACAAAAAACAGAATACTATTATATAAGTTATAACTAATTTGTCTGATGACCCGGTGGTTTGGTCACATCTGAGAGGATTAGGGTTTGGCCGGGTTAGGGTTTTGCCTCTCTTGTGGCAAAACACACTGCCTTATCACACTGCATACAAGCTCTAGGTTTGATATGGATCTTCGCCACCCCCCTACCACAGCAGCAGTCAGATGATATACACTTTGAAATGGAAAAAAATGCGCAATTCTTAATATGCCTAAAGGCCCCTTAACAATACACACGGCCTGAGTTTATAGTGTCCCTCAGTGATGTTGCTCATCTGTGTTTGGTCTCGGAGACATCACAGAGCCTGGCCAGCCACCGCAGGGTACGGGGTGCTTATTGGAAAATCAATGGTGTGAACGCTAAGCAAGTTACAGGAAGATGTGGGAAGGAAGGGTTCTTATTGATAAAGCAGGAGAAAGCTTTTGATGCTGCACTAGGGACATGCTCACTGAAGGGGGAACCATTGTAGTCCTGGGGCGGAATGAGGCCAGGGCTTATCTCAGAGTTTTGTTACATTTAATTACCAATAAAGGCTTGTATTTGATTATCTCATTAACATGGTGATTAACTAAAAATAATATATAATTTTTACATTGTTGTAATGCAACAAAATATGACAAATTTGGATCATATACCGTAAATGTTTTGTCAGAAATGTAATGGATGTGAGACGAATAAAAGATAGATCTCAAAATATTCAATAGATAGGAGGAAAAAAACACAAAAATACAAATCTATACTGCATGAATTAATTCATGCTTTTGTTTGTCTGACATGAAAGGTCTGCACTGCTGATTCAGACAATATCAGAACAGTTGCTGTGCTGATTTTGTACGTGAACTGGCATTATACTTAAATATTACATCCAATGACGCTAATCTGTCTTCCACTCTGAGCAGACCTCTGTCAAATACATGTGCAGCCCAGTAGAAGCTTTTTCTCTGTTCTGTGCAACGCAGTTGAGTGAGATGTTTCTTAGCTGCACCACAGACCAATATTACAAGTCACAATGTACAAATGACAACCTATGCCTCCACTAAAATTATTATAGTCTAGTTATCTGGAACCACAAATATGCATGGGTGTTTCTAGTAAATCTTGTAAAAGGTTTTTACCAACAAATTAAAAGAAAACAAATTATTTGCTAGATTCATATGTATAATTGAATCCATGAAAAAATAACTGTGCTGTGATCATTGCATATATCATCTTTTCCTATTGTGCTAATGCAGACATATAGGAGCTACAGTAGTGCTTGAGCAGCAGGAGGCAAAAGTCACCTCAGGTCGATGGCACTCAGCCTGTAAACAGGGCTTCCCGTAAAATCAATGATCTTCAGTAGGAGCTATCAGTCTGTGCAACAGAAATAGCCATGGCTGTGTTGACTCTGAGGTGGTGAGAAAAGGAGGAGACTGTGCTGTGTTTACAAGTGTGTGAGGGAAAAGGCACCGTCACTATAGACGCCATTTCTACTACACAAGTATGATGAGTCAAGTGTGAGTTATACTCCATTTGTCCATGGCTTTTGATCCATGAATCACAAGGTAATCAACAGGATTAAAGCTGGAGTGCCCAACTTTGAGACCTCAAAAATGACTGCATGACAAAAAATCAGGTCACTTGTTATAGTGCTCAAAACAGTTCGATCAGTTTTCATATGAATGTATTTTTGGCCTCAGTCACATAAGCTTTTTCAGATGGAAAAGTGGAAAAAGAAAGACTGAGCTATTCAGCTCTCAGTATAATAGATTAAATATTGTCTAATGAGATAAAGACAGAGTGCTGTAGTCTGAATTATTCACAAAATCTATTTATGAAACAAAAAAGTTAGGTACTCCAGCTTTAAGTTATGAGTGCATGTTTTCTCTATTTAAAGTACAGAAATACTGGTCAATGTTTTTGAGACACCCATAGGAGGGTAAAATATAAATAATATAACTTAGTACATCTTCTTATCACTGCGCAAAAGGCAGTAAGTAAGATCAGATGAAAAAAAAAAAACAATATTGCCCAAAATACAAAAGAAATGTCTAGAACAATACTTGACGACTACAATACGAGCTCAAATACCCAAAAGACAAAACACTGATTGTTTGTGTTTTACAGCATTCAATTTAGTATCCAATTCACACAAGCAACAATGGCCAGAGCTTAAATTGATTTGTTTGTACTCACTATCAATTGGCTCTTTTGTTAATAGACTAGAAATAGAACCTTGAAAATGATTTTACCCTTTATGCAACACCATCTAATTCTGCTAATCCATTTTGGTGTTGCATAACGGAAAATAAGTGATTTGGAAGGGGAAAAACATCAGTACAAAGCGGTGTGTTATGGAGTACACAGATCTGGTGAGATAGGAGCGTCCTCTGGGATTGACTACTCACTTTCGTAGAGGTGCAATGGAAACAGCATGCTGGTGTAATTAGTGGAAGTTAATTAGCTGTAGGTTAATTACAGGACTGTGCCATGTGTTGGTGAGGAACCTTGCGGGGTGGCAAAGCAAACGCAAGCAGTGAAGACGCAGCAGGACGCCCCCAGTCTCCCGCCAATTACCAACCAGCATGGGGGGCTGGCATCATTTCACTCAAACATTAAGAGCATCATCTATTTCTACAGCTTCTTCATGACAGTTTTGAGCATATAAATGTCAGACTCCCATACAAAAAAAATCATAGTGATATGATAAGAAAAGTGAGCCGTCAGGAATCAGCTAAATGCCATGAGAACATAAAGCAGCCATTTTTATTTTTTTTATTTCTTTCAAGAGCATTTTTTTATTTGAACACGCAAAAAGAGTATTCGCCCAGTCCAGTTGCTATAAAATTGTATTGTGTTGGAGAGCACATGCAACAGTATTCTATGTGCACATCATTAATCAATGGGGGGCCTTCACACTGGCTGGTCTGGTTCACTTTTTCCTGCCAAGTAAACCTGACTTGGTCCCCTTAAAGTGAACCAGACCAACGAGTTCACAGAAGACTTAACAACATACTGATGT